TATGGATAACATTGCGAAAAATGAGAATTCCAGAACACAGTTATGCTTATGAGGGACCTGTGCATAGACCAAGAGGCAGTTGTTCAAACAGAACAAGGGGATGCTGTGTGATTTAAAGTATAGAAAGGTGTGTGTCAGGGTTGTATCCTTCCACCATATTTATTCGATCTGTATGCTCAGCAAATAATCTGAGAAGCTATTCTATATGAAGAAAAATGGGGCATCAGGATTGGAGGAAGACTCATTAACAACCTGCATTATGCAGATAATACAACCTTGCTTGCTGAAAGTGAAGAGGACTTGAAGCACTTACTGATGAAGATCAAAGACTACAGCCTTCCATATGGATTGTTACACCTCAACATAAAAGACAAATCCTCACAAATGGACCAATAAGCAACATCATGATAAACGGCAAAAAGATTGAAGTTGTCAAGGATTTCATTTTAGTTGGATCTACAATCAGCATCCATGGAAGCAGTAGTCAAGAAATCAAATGACGCATTGCATGGGGTAAATCTGCCGCAAAAGACCTCTTTAAAGTGTTGAAAAGCAAAGATGTCACCTTGAAGACTAAGGTGTGCCTGATCCAAGCCATGGTGTTTTCAGTTGCCTCATCTGCATCCAAAAGCTGGACACTGAATAAGGAAGACCAAAGAAGAATTGATACCTTTGAGTTGTGGTGTTGGCAAAGAATATTGAATATGCCATAGGCTACCAAAAAATCAAACAAGTCTGTCTTGGAAGAAGTACAGCCAGAGTGCTCCTTAGAAGCAGGGGTGGTGAGACTTCGTCTTACATATTTTGGACGTGTTATCAGGAAGGACCAGTCCCTGGAGAAGGACATCATGCTTGGTAAAGTAGAGGGTCAGGAAAAAAGAGGAGAACCCTCAACAAGGTGGATTGACACAGTGGCTGCACCAGCCGGCTCAAGCATAACAATGATCGTGAGGATGGCGCAGGACCGGGCAGTGTTTTGTTTTGTTGTCTGTAAGGTCAGTGTGAGTTGGAACCAACCGGACAGCACCTAACAACAACACAACAGTAACTTTCTACATATCCTGGTTTCTTCCATAAAAAATCGGGAATCTTAATAATACCAAACGAACGTAACTCAACTGGTTGTTGTAGATGATATGATGTAGAAGTTGTAAAGTGCTCTGTCAACAGTGGTATACTATGCATATGTTATGGTTACTCTAGCTCAGTGATTCTCCACGTGGTTCCCCTGACCGGCACCGTCAGCATCACCTGGGATCTCTGTCAACAGATGTTGCATAATTCTAATTACTTCAAGTGCTCAAATTCTAAACCAGTTAGTGGGAAGGAAAGTAGGCATAGTTCTCTCTCAAGTTTTTGGGAAAAGACAATATAACGTCACCATTTTCCTCTCCAGGTGAGACCTCAAATTAAGGTTGGAACACAAATCTGTATACTTTCCTTAAAATTAGTCATCAAATATGAACATATATTTAAAACTGCTCATAGGGTACGGAGGAGACTTATGACAGGGAATAGAATGCATGATATTAATTCATTAACATCTTACAAATCTAAAAGGGAAAAGAGATTATACGTATTTCATAAATTCAGTTCTACGACTTTGCTTACGTTTTGTCAATGATGTCAGTTGTTACTCTGACACTTGACCAGCTGTAGAATACAACTCTGTTCTGCACAATGTGCATTTGATTATTGACTCTTCTCACATAGAGTAATTTTTCCTCCTGTGTTTGTTTGTTTGTTAGGTCTACCTGTATGAAATGGGGTCAAGTACTTTTTCCCGCAGGCTGGGAGGACACACGGACACAGTTACCCAGGTGGCCTTCAGCCCCTCAGCTCCTCAGGTACAGCTTTACTCTGTGTAGGGCACCTCCGCTCCACACAGGTCTTGCATCAATGTTCTCATGTCTGTTAGACTTTATTTTGGTGAAATTTTACTTCTAAGAAAACTTAACAATTTTCATTGAGTGTAGGAGAAGAACTTAGGAGATAAACCTGTATTCCGGAGGAAGAACAATCTAGTGTATTTTCTTCTGTAAGAGGATACAGTCGGTGCCTCTGCACGTTTGACCTGACAGAAATATAGAAAGGTGTGGAACTGAGCTTTAGAAAAATATGGATATATCTATAGCAGGTATGATTATATATTGCACTAGTGTGAACACTAGTTGAAACAGAAGGAAGAAAGCAAGTAAAAACAGCATTTGAAAATTATTACAAAAGGAATTTGATGCAGAAGGAGGACCACAAAATTTAAAGAAGCTTTCTTAATTAGAAGAAAAGATTAAAAGAAGACAGCATCAATTGCAAATCAATTGTATGGAATAATAAGCAATCATTATCAATGTAGAGGGAAATATTTTGTAGAAGAGGTAAAAATATTTGAATACTAATTACTCTTGAATATTTGTGAATATCTTTCTATTACATTTTGTTCTTTTACATTTGAAACCTTGATTCAGAGAATAATATTGTGTGCTTTGGCCTGGGGTGTGTGCTTTGGCCTGGGGTGTGTGTGTGTGTGTAAAAGTAGAACCACGCTGTTTGTTAACCTGCTCTTTTTCACTACACAATTTATTGTTGCAATCCTGGGCATCTGCAGTGCCTGGCACATAGCTTACCCTTGAAGTACGTTGAAAGTTGGAAACGAATAAATAAATCTTGTCATGTCATTGACCATAGGGCTACCACCTGCACCAGGCCTTGAAGGTTCTTAGCATTCCATTCCCTCACTGACTCTAATCTTTTTTCCAGCCTGCCACTGAAGGATACTTAGATTTACATTTTTCTTCCCTTTTAAAACAATAAACCCATTGCTATCAAGTCGATTCTGACTCACAGCAACTCTATAGGACAGAGTAGAACTGCCCAGTAGTTTCCAAGGAGCGTCTGGTGGATTCGAACTGCCCACTTTCTGCTTAGCAGCCGAACATGAGTTGGAATCGACTAGACAGCAGTGGGTTTGGTTTTTGGTTTTTTTAGAAAATACTGAGATAATACATCTTGATTGTGCTTCAGTTATCCCCAAAACGAGTTCATATTATATCTCCTGTACTGTACCTGCTTTTATTACTTAATTATATGTGTTGCCATATCTACTCTGAATCTTTTTAATATATTTTTAAGATTATTGGACTCCTTTTTAATCCAATTAATAAGACACTTCCAGGAAGACTGAGGAATGATCAAGAATGAAAGAGAGTTAGGAGGAAAGAACAAAGTCAAAACTCAAGCAAGTTGTGGGACAGGGAATTGGGTGTACTGATTTATGGGTAAAATACAGATGATAGTTGTTTTCGAAATTCAATATTTGGCATCAGATTATCTTTTAGCATGGTTAAACTGAGTTAATTTTTGTAATACTGGAAAATTTTTAATTGATAAGAGTGTGTAGGTTTCTGTTGCCATTTAAAAAAAAATTTTTTAAATTGTACTTTAGATGAAGGTTTACAGAACAAATTGTTTCTCAATAAACAGTACACATATTGTTTTATGACATTGGTTAACAACCCCACGACATGTTGACACTCTCCCTTCTCAACCTTGGAGGACCTTTTTTGTTTTGGTGAAAATATACATAGCCAAAGATACACCATTTCAAAAATTTCTGCATGTAGAACTCAGTGACATCGATTACATTCTTCTAGTTGTGCTGCTATTCTCACTATCCTTTTCCAAATTATTCCATCACCATTATCTTTAACTCACTGTCCCCTAGACTTCCCATCAAACCTTTTGAGTTGCTGTTGTCAATTTGATCTCACATAGATAGTTCTTTTTTTTTTTTTTGTACTTTAGATGAAGGTTTACAGAACAAATAGTTTCTTATTTAACAGTTAGTACCCATATTGCCCTATGACAATGGTTAACAACTCCATGACATGTCAACACTGTCCCTTCTCAACCTTGGGTTTCCTATCACCAGCCTTTCCTGTCCCCTTCTGCCCTCTAGCCCTTGTCCCTGGACTGCTGTGCCTCATTAGCCCCGTTTTATTTTATGGGGCTGTCCAATCCCTGGCTGAACAGTGAACCTCGGGAGTGACTTCACCACTGAGCTAAAAGGGTTTCCAGGGGCCATATTCTCAGGGTTTTTCCAGTCTCTGTCAGGCCAGTAAATCTGTTTTTTTTGTGTGTGTTAGAATTTTGTTCTACACCCTTCTCCAGTTCTGTCCAGGACCCTCTATTGTGATCCCCGTCAGAGCAGTCAGTGGTGGTAGCCGGGCACCATCTAGCTATACTGGACTCAGTCTGATAGAGGCCTTGGTAGC